CGCGAGCGCGAGCGGGACGACGGCGGCGCCGACGTGAAGCGCTCTCTCTCGTTGCCCTCGATGCCGCTGCTGTTGACGCCGCCCGCGGCGGTCGTCGCGGCGAAGCGCGCGGCGAGAGCGGATCTCGAGGAGTGGCAGCCCGCGGGGACGAGTCTGTACATCGGCATGATCGCGCACGCGGGTTCGCCGTCGCACACGCGCCGACAGTCGTCGCCGTCGCCGCCGCCGCCGCCGCCCGCGGAGGCGCCGGAGATTCCCTACCTCCCGGAGCCCGGGAAACTGCTCGCGTCCGAGGACCACGCCGCCGCTTCGATCCTCGCCGCGGACCGGAGCGGCGACGTCGTCGCCGCGGTCGAGGTGGAGAGCACCGACGATTGGGTCGCCGCCGCGGTGCGCGTCGAGCCCGCGAAGGAGCGGATCAGGTGCGTCCTATACACTGGTCCCCATACGACCGCGTCGGCGTGGTGAACGCCGATCCTTAAGGACTTTGCCCGTCGTATCTCTCCGCGCACCCCTCGCTTTCAATCCCCGCCTTCGACGCCTTTCAACTCCACCTGACGCCTTTGAACTCCACCCCGCCATTCGCTTGTATAGAACGACCCTCAAGACCAAACCCGGGGGCGCGACGGCGGCGGCGACGCGCTCGACGACGACGTCCGACTCCTCCGACGGCGACTCCGATGTCGATCCGTTTTGGACGTCGCAGTTCCAGATCGACGACCTCGAGCTCGCGTCCGCGCTCGTACTCGGCGGCGTCGACGGACGGTGGGTCCCGCTGGACGTCCTCCGCGCGATGACGACGACGACGACGACGAGGCCTTTCGCGGTCGAGGACGACGAGCGCCAGCGCGAAAACGACCGAAACGAGTCCCTCGCGTCCGCGGTCGAAGAACTCGGCGACGGCGAAGCGCACCCGGTGACGTGGAAGCAGATCAAGACGTGGTTTGAGAATCGACGAATGACGCAGAAGCGGATGCGCGAGGGGACGCGGCCGGTGCGAAGGAACAACGCGAACGCCGCCTCCGCGGGGTCGCCGACGGAACCCGCCGCCCCCGCGGGCCCCGGCGCGCCCGGCGGCGAGCCGGCGACGGCGGCGGCGGCGGCGGCGGCTCCCGCGAAGACGCGCTCGCACAAGAAAAAGCCGCCCGCCGCGAACGTCAGCGCGGGGACCGCGGACGCGAGCGCCGCGACGCGGACGCCGCTCGCCGCGGACGTCGCGAAGCACGGCGTGAAGCGCAGCGCGAGCCGCCGGAAGCTGCCCGCGTCGAGGCGCGCGCCGGCGACGGCGAACGAGACCGAGACCGAATCCGCCGCCGCCGCCGCCGCCGGGGAAGCGGAGCACTCCGATCTCACGCGCGCGATGTCGTGGGCGGACATTCGCTAGGTGGGCATCCGCTGGGCGGTCACGCCGCGGTTTGCGACGATGAAGTACGCGAGCGAGCGAAGGAGAAGCGAGAGACGAACGCGGACGACGATGAAGACGCGATGACGATCGAACGACGACTGTGAAATGAAATAAGACTCGAGGTCAACTACACGTGCGGCGCTACGACCGCGCTACTTCTATCTGCTATGATTTAACTCATATCTCGTCGTTCAGTATCTTCTCTCTCTGATCCCGCATCAGCCACCCCATGTAGTGCAAGTTGTGCGCGGTCATCAACGTCGCCGCGGTCGGCTCGTTCGCCTTCACGAGGTGATGCAGGTACGACACCGTGTGGTTCACACACAGCGCGCATCCGCACTCGCGACACGGCGGCTCGTGCATCCTCGCGCACTCCGCCCTGGCGACGTTAAACGTCCCTCGCGTCCGCGTCATGAGCTGCCCGTGCCGCGCGTTCTTCGAGGGGAACGTGCTGTCGAACGTGTCCACGCCCTCTCTCGTCGATGCGAGCACGGTTTTCTCGTCGCCGACGCCGAGCAAGTGCCGCGGCCGGTCGGGAGGTAACAACGGGACGAGATACGACAGCAACGACGCCACCTCGGCCGTGTCTTTCCCGACGCTGCCGCCGATCGCGAACCCGTCGAACGGCAGCGACGCGAGGTACCGCGCGCTCATCACGCGCAGCTCGCGGTCGACGCCGCCGTGGACGACGGCGTACATCGCCTGCCGCCGCACGTCCTCCAGGTGCGTCCTCAGGCTCCTCGCCTCCCACCGGTGACTCATGTACACGCTCCGCCGCAGCGCCTCCGGGTCTATTCTGTACGGCGGGAGTTCGTCCAGCGGGATGATGATGTCCGCGCCGAGCTTCTTCTGCGCGAGCACGGAGCTCTCCGGCGTGAGCGCGACTTCGACGCCGTCGCGGTAGGATCGGAACAGCGCCCCCGCCTCGTTGACGCGCAGTAGGAGCCCGTCCGCGCCTTTCTGCTTGCTCGCCCGGCGTGATTTCATCTCCTCGCCGTCGCCTTCGTTCGGTCGCGCGAGGGAGAAGACCTGGAACCCGCCGCTGTCCGTGATGATCGGCGCGTCGCGGCCGATGAACGCGTGGAGGCCTCCAGCGTTTTCGACGAGGTCCGCGCCGGGCTGCAGCATGAGGTGGTACGTGTTGCTGAACATGAGCTGCACGTTCGCGGCGTGCAGCTCCTGGTGCGGGACCGACTTCATCGCGCCCATGGTGCCGACTGCGACGTACCCCGGGGTGTCGATGACCCCGTGCGGGGTGTGAATCCGCCCCACGCGCGCGTTCGATTTCTTCGACTGATGGATGAGCTCGTACCGGAAGAAGTCGCGCGGCGCGTACGGCGGGAACTCCGACGCCGGCGGCGGCGGCGTCAAGGGATCGAACCGCCGGTCCCGCGGAGGCAGCGTCGCCCTCGCCGGCCCCGCGGCCGCGGCGAAGGCGCGCATGCGACGCCCCTCGCGCGAACGACCAATGCTGACTGGGTTACCTACGCACGCGCGAAAGCGGTTCGGGCTGGACGAAACTACGCGTACTCGTACTCTATGGTTTTTTAGTTTCAATCGAATTAGCGCACCTTGTCCATCGAGATCGCGGTTGCGCGTCTCGGCGGTGGAAAACGCCTCGTCCCCCCCGATGCTCGGCACTCGCGGCCGCACGGTCCCCGCGCGCACGCCCTCCACGGACGCGTATCGCGCTTAAGACGCCTTACACGAGTCCGTCTGCGACGTGAAGGATCGCGAAGGACGCATCGCGACCGCGCCGCCGCCCCCCGCGTCGACGCGAATCTCGCGTCGGAATCTGAATCTCGCGACGACATCGCGACGAAACGCGGACGACGACGACGACGACGACGCGATGGCCGAGAAGATCGTCGTGAGCGTCCGCGTGCGCCCGCTGAACGGCAATGAGACGTCAAAGGGCGCGGCGTGGGATGTCGACAACGCGAGCAACGTCATCACCCCGCAGGTTCGTCTCGTCGTTCGTTCCGCGCTCTGCTCCGGGGGGAATGAACGCGGCGCGCGACAGCTGCGATTCGAATCCCGACTGACCCCCACCCTCTCGTCCCTCCCTCCCTCCCTCCCACCCACCCCGCGTCGCGCAGCCCGGCTCGTCCGCGGCGACGACCGACGGCGCCGGGTACGCACTGGACAACGTCTTCGACGAGACGTCCACGACGAAGGACGTGTACGCGAAGACGACGAAGGGGATCATCGACTCGGTCGTCGGCGGGTTTAACGGCACCGTGTTCGCGTACGGACAGACGTCCTCGGGGAAGACGCACACGATGCAAGGGTGCGAGGGCGAGCCGGGGATCATCCCGCTCGCGGTGAAAGACGTCTTCGAGGCGATCGAGGCGAGCGAGGGGCGGGAGTTCTTGGTGCGCGTGTCGTACTTGGAGATTTACAACGAGCAGATGATGGATCTGCTGTCGAAAGAGGTGAGACTGCTTCCCATACGACCCCGTTCGCGTGGTGCACGCCGATCCTTGAGGACTTTTCCCGTCGTCACTCTTCACCCGCGCTTCCCTTTCAACGTTTGACAGTCCGCGGCGGTATCGAAGCCGCAGTTTGGCCTCGCCGCCGCCGCGCCGCCGAAGTCCCGGCTGCAGATCAAGGAAGACCCCGACCGCGGCGTGTACGTCAGCGGCCTGAAAGAGGAGATCGTCACCTCCCCGACGCAAGTGTTGTCGCTCATAGAGAAGGGCGTCGCGAGGCGGCACGTCGGAGAGACAAACATGAACGCGGCGTCGTCGCGGTCGCACACCATCTTCCGCATGGTCGTCGAGTCGCGGGCCACGGACGCCGCGCCCTCGGACACGCGAGACGCGGTCCTCGTCGCGACGTTGAACCTCGTCGACCTCGCCGGAAGCGAGCGCGTTTTGAAGACGGGCGCGGAGGGGACGCGGCTGAAGGAGGGGGCGAACATCAACAAGTCGCTGCTTCATCTCGGACGCGTCATCAACCTCCTCGCGGAGAGCAGCGGGGACAAGTCCACGGGGCACATTCCGTTCCGGGACAGCAAACTCACGCGCATACTCGAGCCCGCGCTGGGGGGCAACAGCAAGACCGCGGTCGTGTGCAACGTCACCCCCGCGGCGACGCACGCGGAGGAGACGCACTCGACGCTGCGATTCGCGATGCGCGCGAAACGCATCACGAACAACGCCACCGTCAACGAGGTCGTGTCCGAGAGCGCGCTCATCAAGCGCCAGCAGCGCGAGATCGAGGAGCTCAGGAAGAAGCTCGGGGGCGAGGGCGGCGGGTCCGTGTCGAACGACGAGATCAACGCGCTTCGACGCGAGATGCTCGAGGCGGAGCTCGAACGCGAGCGACTGGCGAACGAGCTCGAGCAAGAACGCGAGGAGCGGGATAAAGCGCAGAGGGAAGCGAGCGCGAAGATCGATAACCTCACGAAGCTCGTCCTTCGAACGGACGCGGACGCGGAGGAGGAGAAGAAGACGAAGAGCAAGCGCGGCGGGAGACGAGAGACGTGGGCGCCGAATCAGAGCTCGGGGGTGCCGGATTTCCTCAAGGGGCGCAAGCTCCCCGCGAACGCGATGAAGGCGTTCGACGAGGAGCCCACTCCCGCGGAGGCACCCGCGCCCGCGCCCGCGGCGGAACAACCCGTCGTGGACGCCAAGGCGAGAGCCGCGCGACGACGCGGCGGGTTCCTCCCGCCGCCTCCGAGGATGGAGGAACTCGCGGAGGAGGAGGATGACGACGACGCCGCCGGCGCGCGACGAAGCAGCGCCGTCTCGGACGTCAGCGCGCGCGAGGAAACCGCCGGCGTCCATCTCGACCGCGCGCGCGAGTCGAACGCGAGCGACGCCGCGATCGCGCGGTTCGACGCCGCGAGGCGAGGCAGCGCGGCGTCGGACTCCTCCGTCCCCGCGACGCCCGACGCGGGCGCCGGGACCTGGGGCGCGAGCGGCTCCCCCGGGGTGTCGCACGCGGACCACGCCGCGGCGGTCGCCGCGGCCGTCGCCGCGGTGCGCGCGAACATGGAAGCCGCGCACGAGGACCAGATCGCGTCCATGGAGGCGAGCCACTGGGTGAAGGTTGAATCGCTCGAGATGAAGCTCAAGACGGCGACGGAGTCGCTCGCGGAGGCGAATATTGAGAAAAACTTCATGGAGCGAGACATCGAGCGATTGACCGAGTCCGCGGAGCAGGCGATCAAGCGCGGGGAGGAGCGGTTAGAGGAAGCGAAGAGCAGCGCGGCCGCGAAGCTCGCCGCCGCGGTCGCGCGCGCGTCCGACGCGGAGGCTGCGCGGAGCACCGCCGCGGCGCAGGCGACGGCGATGGTCGAGGCGAACAAGCTCACCGAGGCGAAAAACTCGCAGCTCCGCGCGGAGATCAGCGCCGCGCAAGACGCCGCGATGCTCGGCGCGTCCGAGGCTGCGAACGAAGCCAGGGCGAAGGCGGAGGCGGAGGTTGAGTCCGCGCGCGCGGCGACCGAGGCGGCGATGGAGGCGTCGTTCAAGGCGCGAACCGCCGCCGCTGTCGCCGCCGCGCGAGCCGAGCTCGAAGCCCAGAACGAAGCGCTCACGGCGAAGATTTCGGAGATGGAGGAGACCGTGTCGACTGCGCTCGCGCAGAAAGCCGCCGCGGAGGAGAAGGCGAGCGCGGACGCGAAGGCGGCGTCGGAAGCGCGCGCGGCGAAGGCGGAGTCCACGCGTCTCGCGAAGGAGCTCAAGTCTGCGTCCGTCGCGCCGAAGCAGCTCGCGAAAGAGTCCGAGATGCTCAGGAAAGACCTGGAGAAGGTGAAAGAGAAGGCGAAGAGCTTCGAGGAGAAGTACCGCGCGTCGCTTCAAGACAAAGCCGGGTTCGAGGCGGACAAGAAGAACGCGGAGAAGGAGCTGAAGCGTCTGAAGGCGACGATGGAGCTGAAAAACGCGCCGGACAAGAAGGACGACCGGCGACTGAAGATCGCGAACGCGTCCATCGAAACCAAGACGAAGGAGCTCGAATCGCTGAAGAAGGAGATGGAGGACGTCGCGAAGCGCGCGGAGGACGCGGCCGCGAAGGCGACCGCCGCGGAGGCGGCGGCGTTCGCCGCGGACGAGGCGAAAGTCGTCGCGGAGTCCAAGCTGTCGGACGCGCTCGCGAAAGTCGCCGAGGCGGAGGCGTCGCGCACCGCGCTCACGGACGCGCTGGCGGCGAAGAAGGCGAAGGAGGAGGAGGCGAGGGCGCTCGCGGACGCGCTCTCTAAGGCGGAGGCGAAGGTGAAGGAGTTCGAGGGGACGTTCCGCGAGGTCGCCGCCGCGCGGGACGCCGCGGTGTCGAAGCTCGAGGCGATGGAAAACGCGCCCGCGCCCGCTCCAATGGTCGTGGACAACAGGACCGAGATCGAGGACGCGATGCGCGTCGCCGCGGACGCGACGGACGCGATGGAGTCCGCGAAGAGAGAGACCGCGCGCGCGAAGGAGGAGCTCCTCGAGCTCCAGAAGACGTTCGAAGACAGCGAGCACGTGATGGAGGAAGCCGTGAGCCGCGCGGAGGAGGAGTCGAGAGAGCGCGCGCGACTGGAGCTGCTCCTCGCGTCCGGCGGCGCGAACCCCGTGAACGTCGTCGCCGCGGACAACACCGCGCACCTCACGAAACTACAGTGCGAGCAGCTCGAGCGACGCGCCGTGCGCGCGGAGGACCGCCTGCTCGAGACGGAGAAGCAGCTCGCGAGAGCCGCGGCGGAGCTCTCCGTCGCCGCCGCGCGCGGGACCACCCCCGCGAGCGCGTCGCATCGGTTCACCCCGGGCAGCGCGTACGGCGGCAACCATACTAGCGCGAACAAGAACAATAACGCCAACGGGGAGATGGGCGGGCTGGACCAGACCGCCGCGGTCGCGCTCGTGGACGCCGCGAAGGATGAGTGCAAAAAACTTCAGCTCGAACTCAAAGAGAGGAAGCGACAGATGCACAAGATGCAGGAGGTGTACGGTCGTCTGAAGGACAAGTTCGCGCAGGCTGGGGGCGACCCGGAGAAGTTCGACGCCGCGCGCGATGTAAACGGTCTGCGCTACGAGCTGCAGTACACGGAGACGAAGCGCGCGGCGGAGAGGAAGCGCGCGGAGGGGCTCGCGCTCGAGCTGGGCAAGGCGCAGAGGGAGCTCGAGGGATTGAAACGCGCCGCGCTGGGTTCGGCGAACAAGGGAGAGCGCGCGGTCGCGACCGGGAGCGAGAACGCGGCGCCGGTCTGAGGGGTGAATGGATTTTTGGGTGGGTTGGGATAAACGCCGTTCTGTGTAATTACATCACAACGACTACGAACGCCGTCGCGCGTACGCGTCCACGCGCTCGGGGGGAAGAAAACCTCCCGTCGAATGTCATTTTTCAAACAGCGTCGCGTCGTCGAGAGAAATGAGCGCGAGGTTGATTTTACGCGCGCGCGAGAGCACGGCGACGTCGCGGGAGAATAGACGAGCGTTTAGGCGAATATTTCGTTCAGTCGACGCGCGTTCACAGAGAAACGAAGCGAACGAGTACGGTTCTTCGCGCGCGCGTTCGGTTTCGAGTTTGAATTAATTTGTTTTCCCCGCGCGAGGCTCGTCGCCGTCGTCGCGGGTGTAGTTGTTTCTCGTTGATGTGGTGGTGATTATTTATCACCATTGAGTGTTTGCGCGCGTGATGCGACGCGTTGTTTCTTTTTAAAGCTCCATTCAAGAAAGGATTCTTAAGCGAGTAGCTTAATCCTTCTTGGACTTCTTCGGGAGAAGGACGGAGTGGATGTTCGGCAGGACACCGCCGGACGCGATCGTGACCGTGCCGAGGAGCTTGGAGAGCTCCTCGTCGTTGCGGATCGCGAGCTGGATGTGGCGGGGCACGATGCGGGACTTCTTGTTGTCGCGGGACGCGTTGCCGGCGAGCTCAAGGACCTCGGCGGCGAGGTATTCGAGGACCGCGGCGAGGTACACCGGGGCACCGGCACCGACGCGGGTGGCGTACTTGCCGATCTTGAGGTAGCGCGCGATACGGCCGACGGGGAACTGAAGTCCCGCCTTGGCGGAGCGGCTGACGGCCTTCTTGCCGGTCTTTCCCTTACCACGTCCAGACATGATGTATGAGGTTGAAGATGTGAGTTTGTGCGTGCACAAAAGTAATGGCTGCGACGTGCGGAAACCGCTGTTATTCGAAATTTCCGGGGGAATTTGGCAGTGTGTTCGGGAACGAGCCAATCACGTCGCGGAATTCAGTTGCCCGGTCCAATCATTTTCGTTTCTGAATTCTGAAATTTCATTGGACCGGGCAA